TCCTCCGCCTGGTTTGTGCTGCGGGCCTGGTTTTGTTCTTAAAAATGCCCGAAGTTGAGGTTCTTGTCGAGCTTGGTGAAGCTCCGCGCTGCCAAAGGAGGGCTGCGAGAGCTCTCAATCGCCTTCAGCTGAGCCGCCTGGGCCGCCGGGCTTGGCGTTCGTGGGCAAGGGGCTCTTCGGTGGGCCTGTCAGAGTGCTTCCAGCGCGGTGTTTGCTTCTGTGATCCACAGGTGCTGTCTTCCGGCAGGCTGACAGGGCCACCGAAACTAACAAATGGAAGAAAACCGTAAGACCGAATATTTTCTATGATCGGGTGTGCGCTGGGGGACGTGATACTTGCCTCAGAACGAGACAAAAATTCATTGTGTGTATTAGGAAATGTTTCAGGTTGAAAGGCAATACAGCTGGGTTCTGAGCAGCCTGGGGATGGACAGACACAAACTGAATTCGAATTTTACCTGTAGAAATACAGCATTGACACTCACTGTGTGTTTTGTTTATAAAGGACTGGATCCGTGTGGTTACAGCCGTACTTACGGTTGTTAAGGCTGAGTTCTTTGACGTAAGCAGTTAGTATCTGTTAAATGTTTTTTGCCCCAATGCAGAGTTTTCAGAAAGAGGAAGATACTTTATTTTTTGATAAAATTAAATTCCTATAGTTTGCTGTTATTGACTAAAAGGAGCTATTTGACTTTGCTGCATGTTAAGGAGGTAGTATAAATGGTGAACTTGACTTTTTCAGGTTTGGCTTACGAAAAGGATGCTCAGATGTGGAGTCTACTCTCCATTCCGCTGACTCTGACGAGCAGGTAATTCCATGATTTATTTATTTTTTTTAATACAGCCATCTGTATGGGAAATTGGAATGCTGTCAATAATAGAAGAAGAATGAGTTAGTGTAGGTACTACTGCATCTGGACTAGAAATAACTCCTGCAAAGCCAGCAAGAGTGTCTGTACTGCATCTTGCAGATCCCTGCAAGTTGCCTTTGTGTGCAGTCAGTTTGGCTCTGACAGATCTCATTAAAGCACAAGATATATTTTGCAAACACGGCTGTGCTGGCCCTGGCAGACGTGTAGCCATAGTTGTGTGGATTTGCGCTAAAGAGAGCTCTACGGAGTTAGTGCTGCTGCAGTGCTCTCCTCCGGGTAGTGCCAAGTCAATTTTCTCCAAAATAGAAATAATCTGTAGGTAGTAGCTTAACTGTACATGGAAGTAAGAATAAAAATCACACACATGCAATTACCAAAACATAAAATCAGCAAATGGACATGTGTGCAGGAATACAGTGTATTTTTTTTTTTTTTTGCAAAATTTATGTTTGTGAACTTTCATGCAATTACATGAATTTACTGGTTATCAGTTGTTCTTTTTCAAGTATCAGATTGGGGAATGCTCACTTCTAAAATATCATCTTGGTTTACTGAAAGAAAGGAGTGATACTCATTTTCTCACTGCAGTATTCTTTGTGCAGGTTGATGCCATTCATAATGGACTTGACCGTTGTGCAGCTTTACTGAAGAATATCTTAGAAAATGAAGCTCCAGGTTGCAATTATTAAAAAATTAAGTTATGATTTTAGTTTTTGTGAGACTGTGTGGATTTTGTTGACTAATTTTTGTTTTCACTCGTACTAGGAAGGGAGACTATTCATAAACAACCTGGGAAAACAACTTCTGTTAGAATTTATTCCAAGCCTTTGGTAACCAAAGGAAATATTTCCAAGAAGAAAGGGTTGAAAAAAACCTTTACTTCTGCCCACGTCCAAAAAGAAATTGGTAAGTGGCTTCCTAGGGCTTGCTTTTTTCTCAAATGACATTGAGAGGCTCCTCAACCTATTGCGATATGACAGGGCTTCAGATAATTGCTGTTCTTTGTTATAGGTTGATCTAGGGCTGGATCCACACAAGGATGTAAACATAACTCATTGCCTTTTAGAAAGGTTAAATGTTTACTAAACAGTTACTAAAACTCACAAATGTTTGAGCTTCGTGTATGGTGAAGAAGTTGAGTGCGTTTACAGATACGAACATCGTCAATTTTAGCTGGTAGGAGGTGTGGAGGAGGATGATATTGGCCATGCCTCATTTCTCTCGGACAGTGAAGCATTACAGTGCTTGGTCTCTGTTTTGGATACGCAACTATTAACTGTCCTGGCGTTAGGTGTCCAGCCAGGCTTTTCTCAAAGATTAGTTTCTGGAAACAGGGAAGTGTTAAAATAAATAATAAGAACTCAAATGGTTTAGTGGCCGGAGCACTTGAATGGAAAGGAAGATGGAGTGCTGTAGGCTTCATTGCTCTCAGTTGGAGTATTTCACTTGTTATTAGGGTTTCTCCCTCTCTTCACTCCTTTTCTTTCGTGTGATTTCTAATCCAGTCAACAGGGGAGGCCTGCAGACTAGGTGCACAGCAGAATGCCTGTTTTATCAGTAGTACCAGGTGAGCATATAGCTGATTTTTCCAGCCCTATAAAAATAGAGAGTTTTAACTGTATCCAGCATAAGAAAACTAGGTTTGGAGAGTGCTTTGGTGTGGGTTATTCAGAATGGCTTGAAAGCTTATGAAGCAGCTAAGGAGAGATTTTTAAAACTGCATTGTAGAACTGGCCTTCTGTAAAATTAAATCTCTGCCCTTCCTTCAAAAGACAGCTGTGTGTCCAGCTGAGTTAGGTTGCCCTGTTTGGAAGAGAAAAAGGATGGATTCAGTTGCTAGTGAGAAAAATCTGACTAGAATTTTAATTCATAGGGCCTTTTGGTTTTCTTTTTCAAAGGAACCTCCCAGTGTGTCTGCCTGGCAACACAGTGGGTTTGTGCAGATGGAGAAGACAGACAGCTTGAGCTGGGTTTTTTCTTTCTTTCTCTTTAGTGCCAATATCAAATAGAAAACCTTCCTCATCCACCACACCGTCTACTGAGAAAGAACTTGCCAGTGCAGCACAAAATCAGATGGTTCAACCAATTCATGTGCCTTGTAGTCAACACTTTCCTGTGAAGCATCAGAAACTGTGCGAGCATGTGCAAACTCAGATGTCTCTGCTAACTGGCCAAACACCACAGAACAGTAATGAAATTCCTACCGTAACTCCTTTTAATATCTCACATCACGGTTAGTGGAACTATTAACGTAGAGCCTGCTATGTTACTGTATGAGTTTTCACCCCGAGTTGCCCTGATCTATGAGCTGTTTTGTTTTAGGATGTCAAAATGTTACGGCGCTTAATTATCGATTACCTGCCTCCACATCAGCTCCATCCCTGCAGCATTCAGCTAATCCCCTATCTACTCAGACAGTAAGTAGAAGTTTGATTCTGACAATTAATAAATGTTTTAAGTTAGCGCTTCTTATCTTTTTATACGTTTGTGTGAGTTTTCTTGGGTTTATGTAATAATTTTCCTTAAAGAAAAAAGTTTGCATATTTCAACCTGTAGTGATGAACAGAATAAACAAAGAGGGAAAATAAATTTTTTATAGACACCAAAAAAAGAAATTGGAGGCATTTCAGCTGGCTGCTTGTTTCTACGTGGTGCATTTTGTGATGGACAGCAAATGTGGAAGGTGCAGGCAATATTAATTACTGTTAGTAATTACATTTGCAGTAACACATATTAGGTTCATTAACAAACTCCCCATAAAAGAAATTATGTCTTATATGTAGCTTTTCCCTGCCAATGATCCAGCTGATTATTTCTTCAGGCACTATTTATAATCTTAGAGCCACATTTTAAAATACTTGGGTATATTAGGGTATAGAGTAGAATTAATGGAAGTACCCACTGTGACCTTGGGGAATGTGGTAAAGGGCTTGCACCTTGAAACTGTAAGACTCTAGACTTCCCTTCCACATGCAGGCAGTTCATGTATAGCTAGTGCTATTCTTGACTTTTAGGAAATTCATCTGCTTAAAATACTGGAAGGTAAAAATGAGTGTTCATAAAGCACAAAAAAAAGCCAAAAAACTTACTGCTGAGGTTTTTTCTTTACAGAACATCTGAAAAAGAACTGTGCTTTAATGTTGCCAATAACGTTTAAGGTAAAGGTAATCTAAACCAGACATACATTTTAATTAGTCCTTAATGTACTGCAAAAATATGCAATTAATGAGCGGTAGCTGCTTTTATAATTCTCAAAGAGTAGTTGAGACTACATTGCATCAGATGAGTGGTTTTGGATTTTTTAGATTTTAAAAATAATTATGTTAATTTTTTGTTTCATATGAATATTCTAATGCAGGGTGTTCCTGTAGACAGTGGCAATGAACGTGTGCCAGAGATGGGAGGACCTGTAGTTTGTCCAGTTGTTTCTGCTGCTCCTGCTACTGCTGCACAAATACAGCCCGTCACTGCTCTTCCTAGTGCGACCCCTTATGTAGCATCAGGTGCTTCAAGCAGCTGCGCAGCATCTGCCTTCATCCCGTCGTCTTCTGGCAGAGAGATGAGCCCAAACCACGAGCAACAGACAAAGGAAGCAGATTTGATAAGGTGCATACAAGCTCACCTGGCTCTGTTACAGTCACACGAAGTGGTGAACAGCAGGACTGAACAGAAGTGCCATCATCACTGTCCAGGAAAACACAGTGCTTCAGGCAACGAGGAGGAGGATGCTTCTTCAGACCACAGCGAGGACATGGTCAACGACGAAGGTGAATCGAATGTACTTGACGTAGCCCCAGTGAGACATACAAGCTGTAAGACAAGTTTTGCAAAGAAAGTTCTACAATCTAGGAAACAGCCCATAAAGTTAAGACTGTAAAATATCTTCTGGGAGAGCTCAGAGCACTGGTAACAGATCAAGGTGAGGACATTTTCATTGTGCAGCAGAGTGATTGTAGACGAATAACACAAGAACTGAGTTAAATGAGCAAGCACTTCAGTTTCTGGAAGTAGTATGTGTCAAATAAAATGTAACATCTTAGACTAGTGTCAGTTTTCAGACTGGCTTCATGTTTTGCCCTGGATAAGTATTAAACTGTTTTTTGAAGTACTTTAGGTGATTGTAACAGCTAGGGTAAAGATTGTTCTCATTTCATATACAGTGTTTCCCTCTGAGAAGGGTGTAGGCAGATTGTAACAGCAATCCCACCAAGGTTGGTCAGAGAGGTGGTGGGCTGTGACTTATCAAGAACCTAAAGCATAGTTTTCAAACTTTAAAATTTTAAATGTATAAATATCGTTAAGATGACATTTTCTGAAAAAAAAAAAGTAAGGAGATACTATTATATCACTTTGTAGATCGCTTAACACATATAAAATATTACTGTCATGTTGCAGGTTCATATGTTTATTGGGTCTTTTTTTCCCTCACCTCTTGCAGATGATTCGGAAATGTTAAGGTTGATGAGTGAAATAGAAGACTGCGTATCATTGCTCCCAGCTGTGGTGGGAAGTACGAATATACAAGCTGAGATAGCACTAGCTTTACAGCCTCTCAGAAGTGAAAATGCCCAGCTGCGTAGGTTAGGAGCTTGTCGGTGATTCTGTAGTCGCTGCAAAGGCACCTAAAGCATCTTTAACTGGTCTGTTCTAAACTGTGTATTTTATTGTTGTTATGGCCCTTTCGTTCTTGTCTGTGCACTGTTTATTAGAAAGTGTGTTGGTAAGGCTGTATAGTTTTAAAATAAGTAATTGATACATAGCAAGACTCAGTTAATGCTGATGTTTTAATAGCATCAGTTACATGGTGATTGGGCCTTTGTCTAGGTGGGATCAGTGTCTCAATCTCTCTGAAAACTCCCGTATCAGGGTGGTTATCCTCTTTGCATTCTTTTTGTAGTGTATTATCAAGTGCAAACATATCACTTATTTCAAAGGAGCTCTCAAATACATAACTGGGTAGCAGTTTACTTCAGAACTGAAGAAAAGATATTTACCAGAACTTGCAAAGAGGTTTTTTGTGTTAAAGAAATATAAGAATGTAAGAAAAATGCATTCTTAACTTCTATATTTCTGAAACATTCTGTGATGTTTAATTCTCACTAGCAACTTCTTAGCAAGCTAATTTCAAAATCACTGCATTTTAACTTCTGAACTTTCTGAATTTGTGCTTTTTCAAAATGCAGTGATTTTGAACTTCTGAACTTTCTGAATTTGTGCTTTTTCACCATTCACATTTAGGAGACTAAGAATATTAAACCAGCAACTCGGGGAACAAATAAGAAGTGAGGAGACACCTGAACAGAGCTCCAACTATGAATGTAAAGTACTACTAGAGAATAATGCTTGTTAGGGACAATTTTGTTAAAGCTTTATTTAAATAGATACAGACATATAAAGATATAGATACATTAAAATAACAGTATGTCTTGTGGCCTTTAGTGGCAACTGAACTAAGTGTTGTGAGTCTATCATGCAACTGCATTTGCGTGGATAATTGTGCCTGTTTAGACTCCACAGTGAGACTCAGATGAGCAGATTAATTTTTCTTATGCACCTCTTGAAAGAAGAAAAGTTGTGTTTTATCTTGCTGCCTAAAAAAGCCCTTCTTCTATCTGTAAGCAAAGGTCATACTACCAAGATTATTAAAAAAACTAGGTCAATTTAGAAATTCAAACTGTACCACACAAAATAATTTAATTTTTTGTTTCAATTTTGGTAGTGGTTTCTTTACAGTCCTTGAATATGATACTGCAGAGTCAATTGAAAGAGTCACTGAAAGGACTTGAGTCACTGCATGCTAAAAATGAAGAACTACTTAAAATAATAGAAAGTCAGAAAGAAGAAAATAAACATCTTGCAAAAGCTATTCAAAATCAAGAGGAAGAATTGCTTGGAAAAAAACAGCATTATGACATTCAGTCCACCAAGCTCAAGATTGGTATGTATTTTAAATTTATTTCTTCTTCATTTGATACCTTAATACTTGAAAGAAATAATTCAGTAAATTCTTCTTGACATTTTAGAAGTGGAGGAGGCTTTAGCAAACGTGAAGAGCCTTCAGTTTAAGCTGGAAGCTTCGGAGAAAGAAAATAAGATTTTGGGCATAACGTTACGCCAGCGTGATGCAGAGGTTAACAGACTGCGTGAATTAACCAGGTGCTATTGGCTAAGAGATTTTTCTTTTTTTCTTCATATTTTGAATTCTTTTAATCTTAGTATCTTGGCAGTAGGAGGTCACGTAGGCTAAAACTTCTCTTTGTGGTTACTTACTGCGATGGTGCTATAATTCTATTAAAACAGAGTTGTCGTGTTCTGTGACGTGAGTTCTGTTGCAAAAAGCTGTCAGCCATAACTTCTGCGAGTTTTAGTTAATAGCAGACCTGCCAATAAGGAGCTCCATGGGAAATGCATGGACCTGAGGACCTACTGATATTTCCCTTGAATCTGTAAAATTTGGAAAATAACTCTTAATTTTTTTTTAAACTGGTTCAGAAATCCATCTGTTTTGAGAACTTGCAGAAAGATCTTTGTTCGGGACCCCCAGCAAGCTCTTCGTGTGAGAATGAGCAGTCCATTCTTTAATTGTACACACATTTAAAGTAGATTATATTCAGATATGACTTGTGGGAGAAGGTATGAGTTCTTGGATAGCAGAATGAAGGCAGTGTTACAATTTTTTACAACAATTAATGCAGACTTAGTCATGCTCTTTTGTGATGAACATAGTGGCAAGCTGGGAGGCTTAAATAGCTTTTTTACGCATGTGAAGTGATATGTACGCAAAATCTGTTTGGACGTGATGTGCGCAGGGAATTTTGTTTCTAATTGGTACTGATGGGAATGGCAGGATATTTTTAATCAACATTTCGGATTTTTTAGTAGAACTTTAGGCACGTTACATGCTTCTGTGACTACTATACTGACCACCAGATGGTAGTATTACTATGTCTTATTACATGTGTCTCTGTACATGCAATACATTTAAGCATTGAAGTGTTCATTTGTTTTGAAATGAAAATGCAAAGCAGAAAATGAGAATTGTTTTGTTTATTATATTTTTTTGTTTATATGCAATGGGAAAAATAATTCCGAAAAAATTCTTCCTAATTTTCATAGCTATTCCTATACTTTTTATAACAGTTTCTTGACATAAATTTATTTCGCTTTATGGTACTCAAAGCAGGTAAATTGAGAATAATATCGAGAATTTAATTGGATTGTGCTATTTTAGTTACTTTATAGGCACATTTGGCTGAGCTGAAGAAAGAAATTAAAGAAATTTGAAATTGGTTCGCATTTATTCTACATTTTGTAACAACTAGAAAGAGACTTGTAACTTCGCTATGGTCTGATAAATCCAATGTGTTGGTGCTATATAAAAGTTTTTAATTATTTTTAGTGACTATTTTTAAATCTGATTAATTGATCTTTTCTTAACAGAACCTTGCAGGGCAGCATGGCAAAGCTTCTGTCTGACCTCACAGTAGACAACAGTAGACCGAAACCTGAAAAAGGTCTCTCGAAGTCTCTTTTGGAAGACCATGAAAAGCAAATGCAACCTGATCCATTTCCTGGGAGTACTTCAGTAATGTCTTACCTTAAAAAATTGGAAATGGATCATATTTTGCCAGATGCAGAACTTCAGTTCCCAAATAAGAGTGGAGAATTAGAAATACAAAATCTAGCCTATGAGAAGTTTGCTGCTGAAGGAAGCAAAAGAAACAATATGTTCTCAGAAGGAGGAACATCAACTCCCAGAATACTACCAACCTCACTGAAGCAAGATGCAGATGCAGTTAGTGATTCTGGGACGTTACTGGATGACCAAACCCAATTAGATGAGACTGTTTATATTCCATTGTCTAGCAGTGCCTCGAAAAATCATCAGCCGATCTCTGAAAAAAATGGTGTGTTACCCCAGAGTAGAGGGACTCGTAAGGTGCTGGACTGCCACTGTGAGCTCTCAGACTCAGTGCAGCAGAATGGGTGTGAGGTATCAAAGGATTCAACTATTCTGGATAAATTAAGTGCTGGACACGGTGTGAAAAGGACTGTGGAAAACATGCTTGAAGTTACAGGGGATAAAGTGAGGCCAGAAGTAGATAAAGCCCAAATGAGGCCAACAGGCACGCCAAGTGGAGCTGCAAAAGACTTGGTAGGCAAACCAGACCGACCTCACTCTGACACATACCCTTGTGTGCCGATGCTGTTTCAGAAAGAGATTTCTCAGAAAAAAAGCAGTGAAATATGTGGGTTTAGTTCCATTTCATTTGATGATGTATCAAGGAAGTCTGAGTGGAGTGTATCCTCTTTCTCAACATTTACTTCTCGAGACGAAGAGGACTTTAAGAAGAGCTTAGCAGCCTTGGATGCCACCATAGCTAGGTTACAAAGAACTCTGCAAAATAGCATTAGGAAACAATGAATACAAGGAAACAAATGGGGGTGCACTTGTTTGGATTACTTAGGTTTTTCTGACATATATTAATATGTATGGTACTGATATGAATATTTGTATATTTTTGTTGTGAAATGACTTGTTCCTAGCTGTTGAAATTATGGATTCCTCATTAAGCTGTGGTGCTGCTTCCTTTGATGTGTACTACTTGAAATAACTGGTATAAATGCCTTTTTTTAAATTATGACTTTATACTCTTTAATTGCAAAATTAATTCTTAGAACAGCGCTTGACAATAACTTTTTAAGGAACCAGTGTGCTTTTGGCAGTACAGTTCTATTAAATTATAAGTACACTTGCATACTTTTTCAAAGTAGGAAAAACATCACTGAGAGAGATGCGTTTGAAGTCAGTTGCAGGTGTGATAAAGGGAAATTTTTATTTCATTATTATTTTTCTGTTGTAAAAGTGAATGCATAGTTATGTTACTTGGGTATGTCCATACGTTTCAAGAAATCCAAGCTCCTTGTTCCAGTTCACCATGAATATGTACAAACGGTAGTGTCAACATCAAAGAAATAGATTAACAGGACTTCTTACTCAGCTGCACTGCTTCTTGATCTAAATTGGATTTAAGCATGAATTAGGAATTTTACTGGTGGAAGTGGAGCTGCCTTGAACATAAAAGCTGTTCTTCCTTGACTTGGTAGGTGTCTTCAAGTTGTTTTGGTTTTTGTGGGGGGTTTTTTAAAGAGGAACTCAGGGAAGAAGGCTAAATTAAATTTCCTTGTTTACTCAGGTTTTTTTTCTTCCCCAAGGAACTATTGCAACGAAGCCCGCATGGGTAAGAGGTTCCACAGATGGAGGCCAGGGAAGAGCTAGCTGCTGAGCAGCTCTGCAGAAATGCTGAGAGTTACAACTCGGGATCAAGCTGTCAAAAAAAAATAAAATAAAAAATTCAGCCATTATATGGGATTTGCAGTGTATGGTAGATCCTATAAAATATACAAAGTAATCCTTTTTCACTCATCACTGGTAAAACTCAGTTTTTGTTTTTGGCATTGTGCTTGAAGAAAGAAGTTAAGTGGAGAGTCCAGATGAGGCAAGAAAAGAACCATGTGAGTTCTGTTCTAAGTAATGGTTTTTACAGCTGTTTGATTTTATTGGAAGTAAAAGAGAATATCATACCAGTGGATAAATAGAACAGAGTGATGCTCAGAAACAGTAACAGGCTTCAACTGACACAAAAGCGTTGGTGAAAGCTGGCAAATCAGTACAGGTAGTGAAGCGCTGGAATATGAGGAAATCGTGGAAATTCCACAGTTGTTGAGATGTCAAACATCTAGTGGACGTAAGTACAGAGTCCGGACGGGCTCTCACAGGAATGGGTGCGGAGAAGGGGATGATTCCAGGCTGTTGTTCTCTCCTTGGAAGGGCCTTCCAGATCTCAATGCCAAGAATATGCATCATGCAAGTTTTTAAGCTCAAGGTATGGGAAGGTGGTGGTATTGCTACCTCTGTTCCTCTTACACCCTTAGCAGTGCTTGAACGCTGGTTTTCATGGCTCATGTTTTTTCAGGGGTATCTTTGGAAAATGAAGAGCTGTATGAGGACCTGAATTTAAGACTACATTTTCTGCAGCGTTGCTTTTTTTGTTTTTTTTTTTTACCTACAAAATATTACTGTGCTTCCTGGTGCTGACTTTTTCCTTTTATGTTCCCATGCAGAATAAAAGTCTCAAATTTTACCATTTTGAAGAACTTTCTTTCCCATGGTTAACTGCTTGAGTGAGCACATTTTCAGGTTAGGGCACTATCCATACATTGTGCTGTGGAGCAGTTCTGTGATTTGGTTACTGGTAACTGAGCAATAGAAAGGTATGAAGACAACACAGACTACAGAAGATGCCAACTGGCACTCCTGCTTCAAAAAAGCGAAGTTAGACTAAATAGTGACTTCAGTGATGTAGAATGCTTTTAAGGCTTGGCCTGGATTTCTTTTTACTCTCCACACTACTCATGCAGGGATTCAAAATAAGGTGGAAGGTATGAAACTGAACGGGTTTTAATTAAATGTTTACAAGCAGTTTCAGTGTAGAAGCAAAGCAAGATTTAAATTATGATTATGGCATTGATTAAAGACAAGCTACAGTAAATTCTAATCTTTAAAACTCACCAGAAGGCTGAGAAAAGATTGGAAGAGTATTCATTAGTAGACAGACTGATTCAGTTTTCTTCTTGCAGCTAGGACTTACTCCATTTGAAGGAAGTTATTTGTTCTGGCCCAAACTAGTTGCAATCTACATAAAGCAGCTGTGGTGTCAAGATGCCCAGGCACGTTCCTCTCGCACTGAGAGCATTTACATTCACTTTTAACTCAGCGGGGGATGATGTTACAGTTTCTTACTTTTGTGTCCTGTTCCTTGTTACAAAGTGAGTTCAATCAAAGCCTGAGATGACTACAGGAAAACCTTTTAGTGAATAATAAAGTGTCAGGAGGTTTGTAAGGTACATCCTATTAGAAGTAGAAGCTAAGAAGAACTAGGAAGAAGGAGTCTTCTTTAATACAGTTCTTTGTTTTGTACTCAGACATGTTGATCAGAGCTTTTGCAACTTTAAACGAAATATAAAATTTCCCATATATGGGCATTATGAATGTGCACTTTTGTGGAAGCAAAAGCCAGCAAGCTCAAATATGTGAGTCTTTAAATGGTGGAACAGGCTTCCAGGATTCAACTCAAGACCAAGGCATTGAAACCCTGGGAGTCAGCATAACTAGTGTTCAGGTAAGCTCAACAGAAGACAAATACTGAAAACATCTCGCACAACTCATTCTTTTTAATGTGTTGTATGTAAAAAATAATAATAAAGGAATTCCTAGAATGTGCTCATTTTGTCATATACGTATTTTGATGACTCAGATTTGCATAGTCTTGGAGGTACATGTTAAATAAGATCCCAAGCAATGGAGTTGAAAGGAATTACATGTACATGTGTTGTCTCAGAAGAGCATGGACCTTGCTCAGAGCTGAAGGATCAGACAAAGGGCAATGAGCTGTGGTGTCTTAGTTTCTGTAGCCAGGAGGTCGTGTTTGAATGACAAGGTGAACAGTAGCATATACAGCCGTGACAGTTCAGAAAGGAACCATCTCCTCCATGTCTGAAAGCCTGTTCTTCCACACCAGCTGTTTTACTATGGTCATGGAAAAAAAGAGCTTAAGATTTTCTTCTACTGTATTGTAAGTAGTTATAAAATAAGTTATTTAAAATGTAATTTCAGTATTTAGAAAATTTACAAGTGAACCTTATTATGCCAAGTTAAAAAAGGTGTGAATAGTTGGGTCGAGGGTCATTATCACAGGTAGTTAGCTGATCATATGGCCAAACACGTATTCTGCATAACTTCCCAGCTTGGCCATCAGAGTTGGTTTCAGGTTCTGTCCATCACTATCAGCCTCCAGGTATAAGAGGTACATGAATTTTGTGTATTCAACATGAAATCATTGTTCTCTGTTTAGTAGTAATAGGTACTGTGAAACATCTCTCCCGTTCCAAGGATTAATTTGCAAGAAACAGCTCAGCAGCTGCAATTTCAGCAATCGTGTTGCCTCCTCTAAATTTTTGTTGCAGCCACAGAAAGAGGATACAGGAGTTAAGTTTTTACAACACACCCTATGTGAAGCTGACATCTGCAATTTCTAGTTGTGTGGAGAGGACCTCTTGAAACACATCAAGTTCTTAACAGTCATTTTCCTTTTCACAAAAGATTAGGCAGTACTCCAGAATCCAGGATACCTGAGTTAAAGCTACGTATCATTTCCTGCTCTGAGTTCTTGAGCAATGAGTGTCTGTAATGCAGTGTCTTGCTTGAATAACTAGGGGAATAGATACCTCCCTGCATTACTCCCGTGTCCAGGTCAATCAAACACTTCATAAGGAACAAAGATGCCTTATTTGCTGAAATGAAGCAAGTGCTGCATCTGCGTGTGTCAACAAGTTACTTGGGACAATGCTGGCCAAGTGGCAACATCATTCAGCTCTGTATGGAAGGAAGGTTTTACAGCTCCTGGTGCATTTCACAAAATAACTGATTGCAGCTGTTCTCCAGCTGCCCTCTTAAATGTTTGTCCTGGCCACACAAAAGACTTCAGTCACCATGCACAGCCACGCAACGACCCCAGTCATAGAATCATTAAAGTTGGAAAAGACTTGTAAGGTCTTCTAGTCCAATCATCAATCAAACACTAACATGATCACTAAACTGTATCCTGAAGTGCCATGTCTACGTGCTTTTTGAACACCCCCAGGCACAACGACTCCACCACTTCCCTGGGCAGCCTGTTTCAATGCCTCATCACTCTTTCAGTAAAGAAATCTTCATGAAGTGACACCATTAGTATTGCAAGTTCACCAGCAGTGACACATGCTGTACACATGCAAACATCCATTACTGAAGCTTTGACATTGTGCACCAAAGACCATGTAAAAATGGTGCTTAACTGACTGGAAAAATTGCAGCTTAAACTAGTTAAAAGTGTAGTGACCCTGTGTGCTCCAGTTAATGTTATGTGGTTTATAGGCCCTTTAAGCATTTGCTTGTCTAAAGACTGCTTAGAAGTATTATTTCTTTTAAGACTCCTAGTTTTGTCCAAACCCATGATGAATTCTGGCTACTTCACTGCTGCAATCATACAGCCAAAGCATATATTTTTTTACTGTCTCCTCCCAGATTCTATTCTGTATTTAGAAGCTAGCAGTGATGGTTTTGGACTTGCAATTATGATATTAAGCTAAGTATAAAATATTTTTCTTGGCATAACCTAAATATAAATAGCTTTAAAATCAGTGTCAGGTTCTCTTTATTCCCTTAGGCAATGCCAGTTCTCTTTCATAGTCAGTCGCAGAACTAAGATCATCCCAACATTACTCTTGCCCCAGAGCCCCATTTCCAAGACACGCAAATGAAACAGGGCCAAGAACTCTGCTCTGTCCCCCAAGACTTCAGGTGGACAACACTGAGTTATGGCT